GAAGGTGGGACTTTGAATAATACAGTGCTTTGAGCAGGTCAGGCCATGCCAGCATCCCTTGTATTAATTCCCTGCACCCACTAATTACTTATGAGCCAACTTGGTGCAAACAAATGCCACTAGAGGTGCATCCACCCTTGCACGAGTGAGTGCTAACAGTTATGAGCTGGGACTGAGAGTTGTGCCACTTACTACTTTAGATGATTCATTTCTGATGAATGTGGTAGCAAAAAAATGTAACTTTTAGGTTGGAGAGGGGATTAGGAGAATGTGGCAGATGTGTGATATCTGTGTTTAGCCTTCCGTTTGATGTTGATTACCGAGTACCATTGAAGCTAGGCGTGTTAAGTTCTGTATTGACACACGTGATAAACATACCCACAAATTGTGTATGAAATACTTTTATGCACAGCTGCAAATGATTAAATTGTATATAATTAATTTGTAGTTCTGTGAATGCCAACATGTGGATTAAAGTATTTTAATTAAAGTTGGCGTCATACTTCCATCCAGAACTTCTTGTCTTGATTTCACACCTTCTCAGTTTTGAATCCGAAAGGTTACAGTTCCACCTGAGCCAGCAGAACACTGTTCCCTGTTGTCATTGAGGGTGGCTTGCTTAGCCTTAACAGGTTGTCAGAATTTATAGCAGAATTAGGAGTTGCGCCAAAGCTGGCAGTCTGATGGTGTTATTCTGACAGTTTGCGGAACCATCATGTCTGCGTGTTCCTGCCCCTTACTTGTTGACTGAAGTGTATGAAACTTGGTATGAACATCGTACCATTAGAGTCCATCCCACCTTTCTAATTTTTGGTTCTCACAATCATTACGCCCAACACAGTTATTGTGCAAACATCTGTGGTGGGAGCAGCACTAGCTTCACTTATTGTAGAGTTCTAAAGTTAATGTCACAATAAATCTTTGGAAAATATGCAACACTTTTGTAAGTCATTCTTGAAGACTAAAACAGTTAGGACCGGGTTCTCGTGAAATGAATATTTAACTTCCTGTTTGAAGGCGATAGATAAGTAAAGAGGAACGTTATAAGCCAGGCGCGCTCTGTCTAGTGCGGAGAGGGGTCGTAAATATGCCGCCACATATTATTTTGAATTATTTGTATTTGCTTAAAATTACAAACGGGAGTTACGAACTTTAAAGTTATGTCTGACAAATCGTAGTTGGAAATATTCTGGTAGAAACGACGCACGGGAATGGGTCACGACCTTAACGGTTGTGACGCCGTGAAAACTTCAGGTCTCAGACTGCATGGAATTGATTTTATAATTAATACTAGTCTCATATAGATTGAAGGGAAGTACGGCGTCATAATTTCTCTCGAGAACTTCTTTCTTTTAATTAGATAGAGCAACGCTTTCCCTTTCCCGTTAGGACCGTGTGGGCACAGCTCGTGCTTATGCGATTTGCCTAAACTGCCCTGTGCCGGTTTGTCGATAGGCTGTTCAGGGCATCTCCATGGAAACAAGCTACTTTCTTGTTCGATCGCCAAAACCTCCGCGTTTAAGACATGTGGAGGCCTCCCTGCTAGATAGAGGCGGTGAAAGAATCTTGCCCCTCTTGGGTCGCGGGTTAGGTGATACACAAACCCTGTGGTGGCAATGACAACTTTTTCTTCTGCCAGAAATCAGACCCCGGCCGCCTAACCTGTAGCCAGTTAAAAGAGCTCACAGCGAGTGTAACCGAAGTGGCATTTTGCCCTGGATTCGCGATGCCTTATTACAAAAGTGCGAATATCGGGTGGGATCGGAATGCATGACATTCAGAACGTAGCACGTACAGTACGTGCTGTGGCGATTGCACAGCTGACTGTAAGACTTTGCGCCTTGCTCGTGCGGCATCTTCTCCGACACATCTGTTTTGCGGGGAAGCATGTCTCTGTGGCCCTGTCGTCACAGCATCGCAGTTCAGCTCAGTATGTAACTGGCTAATGTAGGTTTGAATACTAGTCAAGGAGGTGTGTTTGTATCAATAATGTGACCTTTTTGTATTTTGCATTGAAATTGCTTTCCAGAAACCATTTTATAAATGTTGTAATTTCTATCACATTTGATCACATATTTTATATTTCGGCATGAGGACCATACAAAGTGAAATTTTTATTTATATAATAGAACCCTGTTTCTTTTCTCTGAGAGCTATTTTAATATTATTCTCAGATCTGTGCGTAGGTCATCCTAGTGGTCTCTTTTCTCCCTCTTTACTAAAACTTTCTATGCATTTCTCATCTCGCATGCGCGCTACATGTTCCGCACATATCTTGATTTGATCATCGTAATAGTATTTTCTGGAGAGTACACATCGTTAAACTCTACATTCTGTAATTTTCTTAGGCCTCCCCATAAGGATTTTGTTTTACGGACGCTTTGGTATTAATGTAAAATGATATACAACGTGATTCCGTCTCCCTGTAGTGCCGGAGAGGAAGTAAAGGTGTGTAGTGATGAATATTGCATTAACGCCATAGTAATTAAATGTTTTATGGAGGTTTAGAAATATTAATGGCCGCTGTTTGTGCGTCACGGAATTCTCCGCCTGCACTCAAGTGGACCGTAATGGCCCTCTAGCACCCGACCGGCCTTTGCGGCAAGGTTGGTGTGGAAGCTGATTATCTGAGACGTGAGACGTATTGTGTGTTTCACCTGCAGGGCTTCGATGGGGCTCCCATCGGGGCTTTACTGTAGCTGAACCGTTCTTTACGGATACGGGAAGACGACCGGTTATGTGGCTTCCTCTGAAAATAAACTGAACTGAAATAAAGGAATGTCTTTTGTTAGGACAATCTTGTGAATATGTAGCGTGCTATTGATAAATACTATGTTGCGCCGCATCGTGGCAATTTATTAATTAAACGGTTGCTAAGCAACGGAATAATACAATTCCAAAGGGCTCTGGCGATGTTGCGCTACATTTAAAGTAGTGGGTTTCTGGACTTTGTCCATCGTTGAATATCACGATGGACAAAGTTCAGAAACCCAGTAATTTCAAACGGAATAATAGTGGACTTACTTCGTTTTTGCAGTACCAGACGAAAGAGAACCCTTGGGGGGGGGGAAAAAGAATGTAATATATTTATGAATAGTTTATTGCTGACAAGTCAGCCAGGCGAAAATACATGTGCACGTATGAATCCTAACCGAAATCAAACTAACATTGCCACACTCGTCTTGATAAATATGGCGGACTCCCACTGTTTACTGGTAGGCTACAGTTAGCTGTTGATGTGTGGGCCCTTTTGTTACAGCTGGACAGCATGGACTTTGTAACCATAAATATTTTAGAAAAATGTAACTCTTGAGAAAGCTCTGTTACACTTTCTTAATACAATGAGCTGTCTTCGACACAAAGTACATCAAATTCTTGAGTATATTTAGTAAATATGAATGTAGTATGATATCCTTGTTATATTTCATTTTCCGTTCATCGAGTTACATTGTTATAAGGTTGTCATTCACATTAACAGGTTTTAAAAATACGTCTTTTGATCTCTCTCTCTCTCTCTCTCTGCGCTAAAATGTATTGTCGTAACTTGGTATTGTAGTTGGTTTGAAATAATTTGAAGTGACAACTGAAGCAATGTCAAAGGTTTTCTTTCTTCTTTGATGTGGCCGATTTTCAGTGGTCGAATGATTATCACTGCTGTTGTGTATTTGGTAGGTCCCGGGTTCCATTCTCGGCACGAATACCGACTGTCCTGGTACGTCCTAGTGGTTTTCTAAGGCCGTACAAGCAAGCACTGCGATATTACTTTAACGTAGGGAATGGTCATGTCCTTCCCCATACATCCCAGTTCATCATTACAAATATTGTAACCGGTAATTGTTAAAGAGTTCTGAAACAGACGTATGGTTTTGTAAATATCGTGGCAGCCGACATTTCGTTGTCTTGTGACGAGGCTCATCCCCGGTACCACCGAGAAGCTAAAAGCCAGCAGTCATTCAGGAGAGTGACATAAGAAATCTTAACACTTGCATAATTTGTCCACAGATGGCGAATCGTACTTCCTGTTTCAGTCTGCAACCTGCAGTAGATCCTCAGCCCGGTTTGTTATATAGGTTATTTAATGACGCTGTTTCAAGTACATAGACTATACTTTTTACAGTAACTGAATGATTGTGAATGGTAAATTGAGAGGGGCGTGATCGTGGCCTGTTTTAGCACTGTCTTCCGGTATTTTACTGGAGTGTTTGAGTTAGGACACGTGAATTGGCCGGGACGCGAAGGTTGTTCCTTCTGCAAAAGCCACGGCGTTCGAAAGCCTGCTTTGTTTCAAGGCATGGTCTGGTTAAAACTGTAGTGATTAGATAGTGAACTGGCAGTGAGGACTGGTGATATCAGAGTGTCAATTGTGCCTTCGGCCCCAGGAACATGCGTGAGTAGTTTTACCTACAAAACGAAGTAAAATATTTGGAACCGCTGTTACAAGTCCGTGGGACTCTGCAGTTGCTCTCCTTTAACTACTTTCTATCAGAGAAGTATAAACCCCGTATTTTTCAGTTTCTCGTGTGTTCTGTGTCTTTAATGTAACGTGTCGCACGGATCGGTTTGTGGGGTTCCTCTTTTTTTATCTTCCGTGTTGTTAGGCAATCGACGTGTTGCACCCCAACGGCTGAACACTGAATCTTACTCTGAGATAAGGACACAAACTGCAGGTGCTTAGAAACAGAGAAACAAAGAGTATTTGAATAAAACATGATTGAAGTCAGCGTACAATTTAGAATATCACAGAATTAGGAACTACGTGGTCATATCGCATTGTTACGTCAGTGAAATCTAGAATGCTGCGATGGGCTGAGGGAAACAAGAAGTGCATACGGAATTTTGTCGGGAAAACCCCTTGGAATGCGACCTCGGATCTCAGGACGACGAATGATGATGGCTGAAGTTGGATGAAACCGCCTCAGGAGTTATGTTCAGTGGCGGGCTCTGGTTCCAGGACGTGTGCGTGCTTATTGGTCCCGGTCTTATTCGCCTTCCTGTTGCAGGAGCTGCTGGAGGGCCTCAGCCAGGCCACGCCCACTCTGGATGACCACTCTATGTTCAGCAGTTCTGGGTCCGTCTCGCCCGAACTGGAAGACACGGTGAGTACTGTTATTTGCGAGCTAGACTGTAGTAATAGGCCGGTTTCTTTCGGAGGCTTTCCTAAGTTCTTGTTTAAACGGGTTTTGGGATTCGCCCACGGAGCGTGAACTGATCACACATGTAGCGTTATGGTATAGAATGTAAGGTTTGAGCATCATAAACCACTTGTAATTTTAGGGATTTCTTGATCATTTGCCCTGTTTTTAAGGCAAAGTTTACAAAATTCTGCTTCCGTGCGTTTCCTTGATGGGGCATGTGGTTTTCGAGATTCTGACGATCATTGTCGAAACGAGTTTTATGACCGCGCGTATTCGAAATATTTTACCAAGGTTTTTTTTAACGGACTTTGAGGACGGCAAGTGTTTGCGTAGCGCCAGTGGTATGATTTGGTACTCATTTCATTAATAAACCTCGCGTTTATCGAAATGATAACATGTCATTAAAGCATTTCTTCAAATTCACGCCTAATAATATTCTGACTTTTAACAGAGTTCACGCGCACCTTGAATTGCAATTCAATAACTTACGGACAATGGCTAGATCCTTATAACGCGTCCCACGTAGTGGATGCCTCTTCCTTTAACCTTTCAGAGGCAACCTCCGAAAAGTTATAGCAGTAACTTTTACGTGAGGATTTTCGTAACATCATTAACTATTTTGAACAGTTGTTCTGAATATTTCACAGTCAAATAATTAAAATCATTGCTAAATTCACAAAAAGAATACTACATTCCAAATACTGGCCATTGTTTACACATTTTGTTATTCGTTTTGCATTTGTTTACTCTTTTCATCTTCAGAAATGCTTATATTCTGTAACACACGATGTTTAAAGATTATATTACAACATTTAGTTGAAGTAAGACCTCTGGAATGTTTGTGACTACGAACATAACCACAAAGGTGGGGGATGAATCTCACGTGAGGACTGAAGCAAAACGCAAATTATTTCTATGACTACTGAGATACTAAAGATACATGGGGGGTCAGGTTGTTACCTGCGCGTGCATTTTTTCTGCATGGTTGTGTGTGACGCACGGGTTGAAACACACAACGTCCGCTTCCTTCCTTGTGCTCGCACCTTCACCGTACGTAGTATCTTCACCTTATGGTAAACGCCGTCGTTACGTAACGTGTGAACGAACGTGCCCTAGCCAGTCGGGTCAATTCACGTTCGGCGGGGCACGGCCAATACTGCGCGCGCTCCGGAGCAAGGGCGGTGTTGGTCGCGATGTGCAGTTTCTTGGAAGGAAAGAGGGGTTTATGCGTTCCTTGCACGAACTAAATGTATTTCGTGAGCAGCTGATCATTATTCAACTGTCTCCTACTTTTATGGAACCTCAAGATTCATCGCCCTTTCCATTAGCCTGAATAGAAGCACCCCTATCCAGTCCACACCTTTACTCCAAATTTATGTTCTGTACAGTTACATATTACCCTCCCATTTACGTCTTGGTCTGCCAACTGAACTCTTCCATTTGGATTTTCAGACATGTCCTTGTATTATCGCGGGCAGCAATGGCTATTCATATCTTTGTGGAGGATCGAAACAAATTATATCAGTGACAGCGAGTTCAGCTGTATTTGTTTAGCTTGCAGAGAAAAGATTGTATTCATTTAAAAACGGATAATCGTTATATGTCACCATGCAACTGTTTAGTATAAATATTTACTTTATCAGGCTTATCAACGTTCGCGTACAAAGACGTATCATAGCTCCGTAGGTTCAGATTATGATCTGTGAACATGATCATTTATGAAATCGACATTCTTATATTTTTAAAAGGTGATTGTATGTAGTTTAAATTATAGACTTTGGAAACTGTAGACAGATTGTAGATTTTAACTTACGTGGAACTAACACCGTTTGAACTGCATTTGAATTACTTGGAGGGGCACTCAGAAATTTTTAGTATGGAATACATCAGTAGACTCTGTATATTTTAATGTTTTAGTTATTAAATTATGTTCCGGTAAGATGAAGGACAGGTAGATGCACAGATTTTACGCACCCAGGGCAGGTGAATGCCCTGAACTTGAAATACCACCGTTTTTACCAGCATCTAGTGGAAATGATTATATCAGTGGTTCAAAAACTGGATTGGGGATGCTATAGTAAGTACCGTTGAGTAGTAAGCTATATTTCATGATTTTGTAGACATGATACCTCTCCAGTGTATTGCAATATTGCCCCATATTAAATATTTCTAGTGTATTTTCCAGGCTTACATATGAGTGTACCTGAAACAGAATGTGCAGTGAGTAACCTGTGTGACAGCTTTAATATCACAATGGTATGTGAGCTTGCTTCTACTTAAGTGTGGGATGCGTTGCAACACTAAGAACGTTGTGCAGCCATGTCATTTATATAACATTCTTTGTAACTTTATTGTTATTCCAGTTACATTTTCCCCATTTAATAGTTACATTTTACTGTGAAGTTCAGTACCACTGATGTTAACAGTGTGACTTGGCAGCTTAGCGCATTAATTATTTATAGTGAAGCCTTACTGATGCTGATCTGAGGTACCCAAAGATCTGCATGAATTGCTTCATTGGATTTAGCTGTGAAGTTGAAGGGCCAGTTTCTATAGTTGCTATTTTATACTGGTAGTGCTTTGGTCTTTTTAAACCTCGTATGTGATGGTTACAGGAGCCCCCTCCAGTGCCTCAGAGTCCTCCGCCAGTGTCAGAAGATGAGGTAGAGCGCAGCACTGATGAGGACCAAAGTAGTGACCTGCTGCAGGTGAGTGATACTAAAGGTAATAAGCTGATGAAGATACTTGAACGCAGCCACTCATAGATTATAATTTCTAATATGCTTCACTGGTTGTGGTTGGTTGAAAATTTCTTCAACACAGGGGAGGGTGACTTTCTTACTCCATATGCTTCTGTTTGACTGGGATGTGTTCTTGTTGACCTATTTTAGTAAGTAATTACTTTTGCAGTATGTTATGTCATGCCTGAGCTGCCATAGTCAATGTGAAACATATTTATAATAAGAGTTTGTGTGGGGCTGAATCACTTTAATACTATACTGGTACTGCAGAAGAATAAATTTTACCACTAGAGGGTTATGTTATGGGTTGCATCACTGTGACTGAAGGCAGAAAAAGAAGGTACCTTTGCTACCTCCTGTCTCACCTTAAGTTTAAAACTTGCAGCTGATGGTTCCAGTGGCCACAGAACGCCTCATTGCCTCACATCAGACATTTTCTGGTGAACTGACTGATGAAGAACTAGAAGAAGAGGAAGTGGCAGCAGCTTGGGCAGCAGATGTTTTGCAGTTTCCATCCTCTCTCGAGGTGGACATCCGAGTCCACAAAGGAGCTGAACCTCTTGGTAAGAACCAGCAGGTTAATATCTGCTGAATTACTAAGTGTGCCACTAACAACATATCTCCAGAATGCAGAATCTTAATTTTGCTGTTGGTAAATAATCAGCAGAATAAAGAATTGCTTGCCGTGTTGCAGCAATGATAATTTTTAGAATTTAATGTCCTTTAGTGTTGCTATTATTATGAAGGGTGTCTTACACTGACTCTTAGGGCTGTCTGCTTAATCAACTAACTCATCATTTGTTATCACAACTGACTATGAGTGATGTGTATGGAAGTGCTTGTGAGTTTTTCTTTCTTTCTTTCTTTGTGCACTTTGTATTTGCCTGGAGTTGAAGAAAACCATAAGAAAGTGAGAGCTAAACACTGACCCATGTTGTTTTGTTTTTTTCTCTAGGTCTAAATGTGGACTCGGTAGACAAAGGAGTGAATGGGATGCTGGTGGTTGCGGTGGCAGGAGGTGGATGCATAGCCCGTGATGGTCGCATCATTCCTGGTGACTACTTGTTGTCTGTTAACAATGAGAGCCTTCGCAAAGTGACTAATTCACAAGCTCGTGCCATCCTTCGACGCACACAACTCCTCTCGACAGACATAAGGTACATTATTACTCACTTCAGTGCATGTAAAAACTTGCTTCTCAGCAGACCATAGAACTGGATCTTGAGCACAGACATACTGCATTAATTTTATAGGTCTTGCTCTCACAGGTTGTTTCTCTCACTTATGAGGATAATAGTTATTTGTCAGGTGGTATTATTCACCTGGTGAACAATTAGTGTGTTGTTACATAACCTGAATGTTTATAATGTCGTCAGAAAAGCTTAGTGGCAATTCATATCCTCACAACAACTTCTTTAATATCCTTTTTAATTTTATCCTCCTAGCCATAATAATGCCACTAAAATGGTCTCTTCTGATGAGAATTCCCTCCACATGTTATATCCACGTTTTATTCCTCTGAGCTGGCTATTTCCACCTTGTTGTAATTGCTAATGACATATGAAGCTGCTTATTGCTAACAAGGAAATTTCTGATTATTATTGATGTGTTGGGCCGTGGGAAAGACCCAAGCAAAACATCTTGAGGATTAATTGTGACAGCAGACTGCCATGTCAAGGCTGTAGAACTGTAGGTAACCTTATGCAAATTAGGCAAATTGGATATCAACTTCCTGCAGAAGCCCCATGGCCATATCCCATTACGATAACAGGATTACCAACTGTGTGCCTACACATTGTGTGGATGGCAGTGTGCAGCAACATTGTTACAACCAAAGGTTTGAAAGTGAGTGAATGAGTGGGTATTTAAACAAAGTAGTTAAGAAGTGAATTAGATGACTTACGTCCATGCAAGGCAGTGACTAGTTTGGTGAGCGAATGACTAGATGTACAAAGAAGGGAGTGAGTGGATGAGAAACTGAATGAGTCGGCCCAGCCGGAACATAGGCTGTAGAAAGTGCTTTGTGTGTTGTATTCTTGCTGATTCCTGTCTCAAAAGAAAATTTCAACTGTGAGAGGGATTCTAGTAATAAGATGGCCCATCCAGTGCCAGAAACCCTGTGATTCTCTGATTCTGGTGAATCTGAAGGATTTTCCCAAACCATATTTCTTGGACATGACATCAGTACTCTAAATATGTGGCAGATAATTTGTGTGTCATTGTCATTTATGGACTGCAGTCATCTTAATGGTATTAATTTGGAATCAGTACTAGACAGTATCCACACCATGGTAGCTGTGCAATATTAGTACTATTCAGAGTGTGTATGTGTCTTTGAAGAGAATTCATTTTTCATTGGGGTATATTTTGAAAAAAAGTTTAAATATATTTTTGTTGTGACAAGAAATGATGAATCATTGTAACATGATCTGTGGAATTTATAAGTGACTACTTTTAGTCACTGTGTTGATAATGTAAGTTGTATTCAAGTATTTAAGATCTAATCTTTTGGATCCATAAAATGCACCACTAATAATACTCACATTCTGATCCATCTACTTAAACTTTCTTTTCCTTCAGAAAGGAAACTCTTTTTGAAGCAGTGCACATCAGCTGCATAGGGATGGGTCAGGCTCTGTGGGTTGTCTAGACAGAGAAAAAGGGATATGTATGGGAAAGATTTTTAACTAACTAGATTTGTGAAGTAGATTCCTTATTGAGAAGCTGGTAGTTGATCAGCTAGTTCAAGAATTTCCTGCCTTTTATGGAATTCTAACATTCATTACCATGTTAAGAACCTCATGAAAAGATTCCATCCTGTCACATTTTAATTCAGTCCACGCCCTTGCACCATCTCTGTCTCTCAAGAGTTCTTTTTCCATTCAGGATTTGTAACCAAAATGATCTCTGCATTTATCTGTCCTGAGTATAACAAATTTCTAACAGGTTTTGTATTTTGATTTTAGAATAATTATAAATTCCCAGGATATCTGTCTGATTGTCTTCTGTCTGTAAATACTGCCACTTTCTTCTATAGTGTGACATACATCCCAGGGGAGGCAGCAGCAACCTACAGGAAATTGCTGCAGGATACCGAACCACCACCTGGTCTGGCAGCCCTACAGAAGCAGCCACTCCAGATATCTCCAAGGTGGGTGACCTGCTGTTAATGCATATGATTAACTTTAACCTTCAGGCTTTACAAAGCCACTGGTAATGTTTCTGTTTGTCTTCAGCACAATGCTAATTCATTCATGTACCCTCAAGAATTTAAAACAATATATTGTCACAGTAGAAGGAACAGGTGTGTACAGAGTCCCACAAGATTAAGAGTACATGGAGTTCTACTTTCAAGTTCCCTTTCTACCTTTATGTGTATTGTGATTGCTTTAATTAAGGAGATGTGATGGCAATCTGCCCATTGCCTTGCCTACCACATCGTATTGTAGTGTGCCATATGAATTGGCTGTCCACATTTTTATTTGTTCTTTGCACACAGCACACAAAATAAAACAGGTCTTGTCTGTCTGTAAGTTCATCTGCATGGTTGAACTCTGAGATGTCCCATGGATTTAAAGAAACTTTCTTATTGGGGGTCTCTACTTAAAGTTGACAGGTGGAATCTCCTTTACATGAACTTCAGTAAACTTATAAGATTTCTCAGAAATGTTTCATTGATATAAAGTTACTGATCTTATTCAGATCAGTAGCTTTCGTATGCAACTTTTTTCAGTATGACAAATATTTAATGAAATACTTGGAAAAGCTAATATCTGACTAACACAGTATGAGCAAAGATGTTGTTAACAGTTGTCATTTTGTATTATAGGTTCTGTTCAGGTAAGGGGACACATGTGAGAGGAAGACTTTGGTCTCTCTTGCACACACATAGTATTTTGCTCTTAACTATTTACATTAAAAGCTGCATGTGGCTTGGCAGGTTATGAGAACAGATGTACGTTTCAGTAGTTGTAGTGTGCAGCAGATGTCAGTATCTGCTTTTATTCATTCCCAGTAATAAGAATGGAAACATCTTACAGCAGTTTGGTTGCGCTAAATACTGCCAGCTTAAGAGTATGCCTTTGTCTGTCTTTCTTTAAATTTATCTCTCCCTCCCATTCTATTTGGTGCAGGTTCGTATTGTGTTACACTTCCACATATTTGCATTTTGTTGCATAGTGCAATGGTTTTCTTAATTTATTTAACTGATTGAGTTTCACTGCATTGAATAATGAGTAATAGAGAGATGAGGAGTGTTAAATTGAAATAGATATGTAACTCAAGGCGCTGTCCCAGCATTTGCCTGGAGGTACTGAAGAATACATGAAAAAACTAGAATAACCAGTCTTCCAATCATGATTATAAATTGGGATTGCCATCTAGCAGGAGTGGCAAACTGCATAACAGTATACACTTCTGTATGAGTTCTGTGTTGGACATCATCTGTTGTCTGAGATGCGCTTGATATTTTAGGAGTTGGCTGTACTCCCATCATCAGGTGACTGATTGTCATTGCATTTACAATTTCTATCGGTTTTTTTAGGTGTTTTTCATGCCCTAACATGAGCAGAGAACATCTTATGGACCCATCCATGTCTGTCTGCCTGTTTGTCATGTTTTTACTAGGAAGTTGGCAACATGCATGTTCAGGGTCATTGTTGTACAACAATAAGAACCATGGTCTCATTGCTGGGAAACATTGTTGTGCAAGTTTAATGGCATCATTAAATAATGCAGTGTAACCTGTATAACTGAAGTTCACCATAATGGAAGCTAATCCCCAAAGACACTGTAACTGGTTGGACATATCCACAGTTTTGATATCTACCTGTGAGTGTGGTGCGCTGCACAATTGATGCACGCTTCTTTCATTGAGCACAGCTGTATATATGATGCTTCATTTTGTTTTGTTCTTTGCTATCCTAGGATATTCCCTGAGTACTATCGGTAAGTTAGTTGCATGGCAGCTTGGAGTGTGTGTTAAACCCCAGTCGTTGACACACTTTACTGTCTCAGTTATCTTCATCATGGTAATTGGTAAGAATTTTGCATCAGGAGCAAAATTCTAGAATTTCTTTTGTGCTGAAAGGAATTGGAAACTGACTTGTTCTGTTGATCCATAACTGGAAAAATCACTTTCATATTAGCTGTATAGAGTAACTAAAGAAGGCAGCACATGAGAGAAATCCTGAAACCAAACATTTGCATAAAAATGATATTATAATTTGATGAGTTGCTGTGACAGACTTTAAGTTTATGAATGTTTAAAACCTGCCACATTTCTCTTTTTACATTCCCCTCCAGTCAAGTGTTTCAGTAATGCATGGAAACAGTTAATCTATGTTTATGAAACAAGTTGTTATTCTAGGGGCATCTTGTGTTTCCTGGTCTTTCTCTGAGGTGTAGTGCATGTCAGCCCCTTGTATTATAATTTAAATGTCACTCAGCATGGCCTGGCAACTATAGTCAAGTAACTTTAGTGCTGAGACTTCAGAATGTGGTAACTTTGAAAATTCAGTCATATTAATGTACCTGGAATTTTCTGTATGAACAATTTAAACAGTAATCTACCCCAGATAAAATCTATAGTGTGGTTGGTATCTGTGAAATACACACTGCTTTTAAGGTTCTTAGAGAGGCTTTCCTAATGAATGTTTTGGAAATACTTATAACCCAATTCAAAGTATTAATATTTTTGTTATGCGACTGTTTTGCCTGATTTAGGTCGTTCATGGTTTCCTTTAGTCTGTCCACTGAAGTAGCACCTTAAAATAAGTTATGAATGTTCCACTGCATTACACAGTGACCAAAATATCCTTATGTTGCTGGCTTACTTCATAATTCTCTTATGCCCAGTTTTTATAGCTTAATTATTTGTACACATTCCCTGACTGAAAAGGCCTCTGTCTGTGTTTAATTGCCACATAACTCTACTATCGAAAGCACCACCCCTAGCAATAATTTTAAAAACTCTGTGCATACGTGCGTATGTGTCAGTGTCGTGTGGGTAGTAAAACATTTTACTGTCTCTGGAAATTTTAGTGATCCAGACATAAGCTGACAATATATCTGCTTTCGAAATCACAAATGTATATATCAAATACACAAACATACATATATGACAGTACTTTTAATAGTGGTGTTGCATAATTGTAAAAGTTTTTTTCTTCTTCCAGAAATAACTTATATTATGAGATCAATTAATGAATTAACCGTATGTAACTGGTATCATTAAATAACCAATAATGTTGCTTGTTACAGCTCGCCATACATACAGCAGGGAGGTGAGAAGGCTCCAGATGTTGTGCCAAGTGAAGAGCCTTACAGGGGACCTGGTGAGAAA